AAGCTTTATTTCACTAAGAGTTTAAACACTGATATAACATTAGTGTTCATGTCTTAATCAGATGCTCTTTACATTTACATTACCAATTATGAACAAGAGTCATTTAGTGGAATCCTGATTTCTATTCACTGCTAGCTTTTTCAAAGAGGGTAAAGAATCATTTAACTAAATGTTTTTGGTTCTTGATTAAGCAAATCATTCAATAAAACATTATTTGGCCAAATAATGTTTTATTCACCTCATGGATTTGCATTGTGAATTGGTCTGAAAACATTCCAATTTCTCTAGTGAAATATTCCAAATTCTTCCAGATAAACTTTGGTTCTCAAACTCAAAATCCATCTTACACTTTAATATGGTTTTCAACCATGCTTCCCTTCCTCTTTGTACATAGTAGTTTAGTTTAGTTTAGTTTCACTAGTTTTAGTTAAGAGTGTTAAAACGGAAATATGTCTGACTTGGAGCTGAATGATTTTTGTTAACAAACTCTTATATTTTGAACAGAAGTTGTGGTGAATTTATTCTATGTATGTGCAGAATTAACTGTTTAACCATGATTAGTGCTCCAATCACTCTTTCATTTATTGTTCTAACACACAGTTAGTAGGGCGTGTGTTCATAAACAATATTACAGCCGAAATATTACCTGATTAAATAAGATATTTTACCACCCCTACCGTGGATGGCAATAAACATCTTAAAGTATCAGAAATATTAATTCTCAGCTGGCTGGGAATTGAATAGAACATAAAATCACAACACAGCTCATTACATTCATTTCCTTTCTTAGTATTTCCAACATTGCAATAAACATTCACATAGCTCAAAATATTTCTCATTAAATTTACAAACCTTGTTCCCCGAATGACCTAAGCTAAATTTAGTAGTTTTTCTGTGGCTTTTTGCATTTTTTACCGTGAACCTTTTCAGACTTTTCTTTCTTGTTTTTCCTCATTAATCAAAACACAAATCTTAAATACATTCATATTTTTATTTTAAAATTGACTTGATTGTGATTTTTTTTAAAACCTGACTTGAGTAGAATGTGCGCAAAACCAGCTGATTGTGTTTACTAAATAGGCTAAAGCTTGCATATCCAGCAGTCAACAGCCTTAGGATCGTGATAGCACTCAAAAAGAGCCCAAAATAAAATACAATAAATGTATACCCTATTAATTTTTTGTAAAAATATATTTAATTTATTTTGACAATGAAAAATGAAAAAGGATTGTTCCCCATTTTTTTTGTCCTATTATGTAATGGAATTCAAGTGTAGTCAAGTCTTACTTTCAGGATTTAATTCCTTCCAGCTTATTAGAGCTTATGCAAAACTTTCTCTAATTTAGGGTGAGCAGATTTGGGTTAAAATGAGTGTGCCTCACCAGGCTAACGTAGCAAAACAATTTCACTAAGAATTTCAGTCAGTAGGTCACATGACCTGGAAGCTATTGGAGAAAAGTCCCAATTTTTGTCTTTAAAAAAATTCTTAAAAATTGAAAATAGATTAAAATTGTATAAAAGCAAGTGTGCCTTACATATGTTATCTATTGCAATGATTTTATATTAGTTTCGTCTTAACTGGTCATAAGATAAGTGTTGGGATCCGGAGGCTTGCCCACCAGAGGGCGCCGAGGATTCCTTCCTGAGGGCTTGTGCTTCCTGTTGGGATCCGGAGGCTTGCCCACCAGAGGGCGCCGAGGATCCCTTCCTGAGGGCTTGTGCTCACCTACAACACCTGTCTTCCATCTGCTCATCAAGAGGACTCCTATTTAAGGAGGAGGAGACTGACACTCCTGTGCCAGAGTGTTAGCCAGTAATGGTACAGCTAGACCTGAGCCAACCTGCCTGATCATATCTCTGTGTTTTTCTTGTTAACCTGTTTGACCCAGTTTTTCTCCCTGTCTCTCAGAACCTGACTTGCCGGGAAACCTGTTACATTGAAGAGAGAGACCCCAACTTGGAATCTGCCTGCCTGCACTAAGTCTGAGTCTCTGCCTCTGCCCATGCCTGGAATCTGCCTGCCAGCCCTCAGTCTCAGCCTCAGACCTAAGTCCTCTGCCAGTCGACCAGTCTCTGGACTTACAAGGTTTCCCCTCTGCAGATCTGAATCTCTTCTCTCAGCCAGAAACCCGCCAGCCTGCACTCAGCCTCAGCCCTCTGCATGCTGACAAGCCTCTGGACTTACAAGGTTCCCTTCCCCCCTGCAGATCCGAATCCCTTCTCTCAGCCTGAAACCTGCCTGCCTGCACTCAGTCTCAGTCTCCCTCTCAGCCTAGCCCTCAGTCCTCAGCCCACTGCCTGTTGTTAAGCCTCTGGACTCACAGGGTTCCCCCCCACCTGCTGATCTGTTCCACCTCTAGCAGTGAAGATCCAGCCGTGACCAGTCTGACCACCCCAGTTCCTGTTCACATTTTATTTACACTTTTTTCAATAAACTTTTTGAACTTTCTCCAAACCTCCGTGTGTTTCTGCATATGGGTTAGACATCCTTATCCCATCATGACAATAAGGAATTTATTGATTTTTGTTTCTCAAGAGTGCTTGGTTCAAAGATTTGTTGACGATCCTTAAATGCACCACCATGTGCGGGAGGAGGGAGCGGCTGAGAGACGCTGGCCAACATCGGAGTCCCTCTGTCGGATCAACCGCTAGATCGCGCTGATTCCCGGAGCTTGAATATCCAATATCCAACTTCAAATCAACTTCACCGCTGTGCTGACGGATTGGTTCTGCTGCACTGTAGTTGACCAAAATCCTGGACAATTTTGATATTCCCCCCGGACATTTTTTTATTTATGAAAAGTAAGACATGTCCGGGAAAATGAGGACGTCTGATCACCTATCCAATTTCTACAAAAATATTGTTATATAATTGTGGGACAGAGAGGTTTATTTATTGAAAACAAAGTGGTGACTATGGGCAGGGTTTTAAAATAAAAAAAAAGGTAAAAGTAAAAAAAAAATTATTTAAAAGAATAAATTCACAAAAAAGTGAAAATGCAGGGTAGTAAGGAGCAGCAGAGTCAATGGATGAGTCTATTTAAAAAGAGTCAACTTTTAGCTGGCCCAATGGGGGACGTGGTCCTTTCCAGCACGCAGTCCTTTCCGTCGCCAGTCAGCGATTCTCCACGGCCAAGGGCGAATCACAGCTGTGATCGAGCCACTCGCAGTCCAACAACCAACCGTTCCTTGACGGTGACCAGTTGGAGGAATCTCTGCGGCAACCAGTCCTTCAGTCCGCCGCTCCTTCACCTGTGCTCTGCCCGGCTTCAATATCAGAACTGCACAGCTACCTTTTTATTACCGGCTTCCCGGTCAGCACACATTGTGCCTGTCCTGATTTGTGCCTCAGTTGAATTATGCTACTCACACAATAAAGTTGTGAACTGTGCATTTGTTGTGTATTCAGTGACTTTCAGTATCTTACATGTCAGACTGGACCATGGCTTCCATGGCTATGCCACCTTTTGAGCACCCAAGGATTGACTGGGATGCGGCTGATTTATACCAAGTATTTAGCATGTTTCAAAATCACGTTGCCTTCATGTTTTACGGAATCCTATCCGAGCTAAGCAGGAAGCAACAGGCTGGCTGGCAAGGTATGTGGATTGGAGAGCAAGGCAGGGAAATTTACAGAACTCTGACCTGGGCTGCTGGAGATAAGGAGGATCCGGGAAAAATACTGGACATATTTGAAGCCTACGTTAGACCGAGGAAGAATAAGAGGATTGTTCGTCACCACTTCAAACACAGGAAACAAGGTACAAGCAGTGTTTAGCATGTTACTTTGACAGACCTAATCTCACTATATATCAGCTAATCTCCTCCTCCCCTCTCTCATGACAAGGCGCGCACGAGTCCTATCATGAAAAAAAAGGTTAATTGTGCGACCTGAGTAACGTGCAGTAACGGGGTGTCGGCAATGGTAACTGCGTTATAGTTACAGTCAAAGTAATTAGTTAGATTACTCGTTACTAAAAAAAGTTTTTTTCAACGCCGTTACTCCCATCACTGGGTACAAGTGAGGGGTTTGACAACTTTGTGAAAGACTTACGGATGCTGTTGATGGACTGTGAATATGCAGGCCCACATGACATGCAGAGATGGGAAGTAACGAAGTATAAATACTTACTGTACTCAAGTAGATTTTTCTGATATTTTTAATTTACTTTACTACTTATTTTTATGGCGACTTTTTACTTCTACTCCTTACACTTTTACACAAATATCTGTATTTTCTACTCCTTACATTTTAAAAAATTGGCTCGTTACTTTAGTTTTGAATAATTTCAATGGAGTTACTGTTATTATTTTTCACATCATCAATACCAAATTCAATCTAATTGGATGGGAATCTACGTTGCATTTGACGCACCACTACAAGATGAATCGACAGATTCGGCGGTATTCATTCGCGCCAAATCATTGCAGCTTGGTGGCGGTGGCGTTAGCATAGTAGCATGGACGACGAGATGATTGAAAATGAACACAACGGAGATCTAGTCCTATTGGCAGACATCCATTTAAAATGTAGGCAACGGCATGAAAAAAGTGGTTTCTACTTTTACTTTTATACTTTAAGTAAATTTACAAGCCTGTAATTTGTTACTTTTACTTGAGTAAAGAAGTTTAATCAGTACTTCCACTTTTACCAGAGTATTTTTTAACACAAGTATCTGTACTTTTACTCAAGTACGGAAAGTGAGTACTTTTGCCATCTCTGATGACATGCATATCAATGCCCTTATCGCAGTTGCGTCTATGCGAAAAAAAGAATGGTCTTTCACAGCAGATCGACGTTCACTACAACAGACGTTAACTACTTTCTGCCACATACAATATGGCGATTACTTCAATGACCTTAGCCCAGGGGTCGGCAACCTTTTCTACTCAAAGAGCCATTTGGGACCGCCTCCCAATAAAAAGAAAGCACTTGGAGCCACAACCCATTTTGACGTCATCTATATAAAACCTATATGCTATGTACAAAAATCGATACTATGTTGCGTTTATGAAATCAACGAACTGCTGCAGAGAACACAAAATTTTATTTCTGCATGTAACAAAACGCATTTTACACTTTGCTCAATTGCAAACAAAATACCCTATTTGGGTCTTTGTATTTAAGAAATAAAAACCGAAACTTACCCAACCCGCACTGAAGGAAAAATAGAAACAGAATGCAGTCACCTGTCCTCCTCTTATTCAGGAGATAAAAAATCAAAACTTATTCAAATATTATCCACCGGCACTGAACGAACCATGCAAACCGAAAAATGTGCAGTCTGCTTCTGTGTCCCATCGCGTGTGTGCGGTCACCTGTCCTCCTGAATTAAAAAAAAAAAAAAGAGACTATTTCACTTAACAATATATAGGTATGTATTTATATTTGACTGTTATATTCCAGACAACCACGCACACACATGTAAAACAATAGCTAATTAAAATATTTATTTTACCTGGTTAATGTGATTTTTGCTCCTGAACCTCGCCGCACAGCGTCTTCATGTCAGGGCTGTAAGATGTCACCTTCATCTTCAAACAGGAGCGTAAGCTGACGTCTGTGAGGCGTGAGCGGTGCTTGTTTTTAATAAAGTTCATGTTGGAGAAGACCTGCTCACAGATGTATGTGGATCCGAAGATTGCAAGGACTCCAAATGCATACCTCTTCATGTTGATGTAGCTGTCGGGGATGGCATTCCATGTTTTGAATACAAGTTTGTCCTGTTTGGGAAGGTTGGCAACTTCGCTCCATTTGTGATTCTGAGCGAGAACGGCCTTCTGATGGCACACATTTTCAAGATCAGCTGTCAAACTCTTGAACTTTGACACCCAGATGTCTTTGTCGGCGATGTCGGCCAGTTCCATCTCTAGATCAGGTTGACTTACACCTGGAAATGCAGTCATATTCAACAGGGATGGATCGATGCTTAGAGGAGTGACAGGGAAAGATAGAGTGTTTTTTTCCTCTCTGAACTCACAGAATCGTTTCCCAAATGACGCTTGCATTGCAGTGATTGCAGATTGCAAATACTGCGTATTTATCACATTCCCACCTTGTTGGTATTCTCTCAAAGAGGGGAAGTGATGCAGTGCGAGTCGCTCTAAATCCTTGGCCAACACTGTTAGCTTGCGCTCGAATCCCAGCACCTCTTCCAGCAGGTGCAGAGCTGTGCCTCCTTTCCCCTGAAGAGATGTGTTCAATGTGTTCAGGTGCGCTGTCATATCGACCATAAAGTGTAGCTTTTCCAGCCACTCTGGCTGTTCCAGCTCAGGAAAGGTGAGCCCTTTGCTGCTGAGGAAAGTTTTCACCTCTTCCAGACACGCTGCAAAGCGTTTCAGCACTTCTCCTCTGGACAGCCACCGGACTTTGTTATGCAGCAGGAGATCAGAGTACTTGGTGTCCATCTCATCTAGTAATGAGCGAAACTGACGGTGATTTAAACCTTTTGCCATTATTTTGTTGACAATCTGAATGACAACATCCATTACTTCTGTGCATTCCGGAGGAAATGTTTGCGCACACAGTGCTTCCTGATGCAAGATACAATGGAAAGTCAGCAATTTTCTATCCAATGACTTCTGGAGTAAAGTTACAAAGCCCTTCTGCGCTCCTGTCATGCACGGTGCCCCATCAGTAGCTACTGACACCAGGTGGGTGGTCTTTATTTCTTTATTTCTCAAACAGTCCAATACAGCCTCACATATATCCTCCCCCCGTGTTTGGCCTTTTAGCGGTATTAAATCAATCATTTCTTCCTGTGGCCCAGTAGCGCTCACGTATCGGCAGAACAACGCTATTTGTTCAATGTCATTTTTGTCTTTTGACGCATCACAGGCGATTGCGTAGGCCAAAGCTGAATTGATATCTTCAATCTGCTGTCTGGTGACGTTTTCTGCCATCTTCACAGTTCTGTCTTGGACAGTTTTGGCAGAGAGAGGCATGTCTTTTATTTTCTGCAAAATTTCATCTTTGTTTCTGAAGTCCGAGAAAAGATGTTCTGAAATCTTAACAAATGTTTCTTTGAGATAATCTCCATCTGTAAATGGTTTACCATGCTTGATTATTTCCTGAGTAGCCACGAAACTGGCACATGTAGTGGAATTTGCGGTCTTAATCCACTTCTTGAAGTGACTCCTGCTCGCTTCAGCCTTCCGCATCAGCTCCGAAACAGCCTTTTTTCTCTCCTCTCCCTCGGGATATCTTTTAGCAAAGACAGAGTGTTTGTTCTCGAAATGTCTTTCAACATTTGACTTCTTGTTGTTTGCCAGTCTTTCGCCACATATTAAGCAGACTGGTGAACCAGTTTCATCAGCGGTGAAAGCAAAATGATCTGTCCACGTAGCATTAAATGTTCTGCCATCTTCAGGATGTTTCCTTTTCTTAGATTTATTCATAATGTTTCTTCCAGGCAAGGGTCAAAAAGTCAATAAATCAGTGAGCTAAAAAATGTGGTCTGTCAGACATGTGGGGTATGCTAGGAATGCCTGTCGCACATCGGCGGACATGACGTATATTTTGGGTGCTAAAAATGTTCAAAACTTTTTGTTTTAATGTTACAAGTTTACCATAATCTTCAGATTTAGACATTTATTTTAAAATTATTTTAATTTATAATTTTTTAATGATTTAATTTTAATAAAATATTCTATTTCCCAAAGTCACTGGGAGCCACAACAGAAGGATGAAAGAGCCACACGTGGCTCCGGAGCCATTGGTTGCCGACCCCTGCCTTAGCCTAACGAAGCGTCTATGTATGTCTATTGTTATAACATAGTGGTACTATTCAGTATGTCTGCATGTAGTTAAACGTTAGCGGCATATTCATTCAGCAAATCATCAGTTAGATCAACAATATGTATGTTTGTTATATTACCTTCTTCACTGTTTCTTTCCTCTTTTATTTTTCATCCAGTCTTTGTATCATAAAGACTGATTGAAATGATATTCAGACCATGTTAAGAATTTATATTTTAGCTTCACAAACATTATTTATTCAGTTATTCTGTTAAAATCTTCATACCAAACTAATTTCATTATAATCACTGCGCCTGTTTTATATTTACTGCCAACCTCATGGCGCCATAGAGCAAACTAAGCAACGTAAAGTTTTAGTTCATCAGTGAACCAGTTGGTGTAGATTTGGTTGGTACAGATATTTTCTGAACAGTTTGAGGGTCGTTACATGGAAATAATGGTTATCATGTCACATCATCATTTCATATTTTCTGCATGAACTGCAGCCCATTATAAAATAATCTAATCTGATTATATAAATCCTACTGATGGATCAATAATCTGACCAATATCTTTATCTATAAACTGTCAGATTAACTCAGGAGGGGCTTGTAAAAAAAATAAGTGGAGAAATACTTGATAGTATTTATGTGAAGGAAACAGAAGGAATATTTGATGTGGAGATTTTAATGCTCATAATACCTTATGGGTAAGTAAAAGGAATGATGAAAATGGAAACATAAGAGGAATTTATGGATGATTATAACTTAACTTGTTTAAATGAGGGAATTGGTACTAGATTTGATGTAGGACATGGAGTAGAATCTGCAATTGATCTAACTATAGTGTCAGATCAGATAGCAGAAATTAGTCAATGGGAATTAATTAATCACAACCCCCTTGGAAGTGATTATTATCCTATTCTGTTTAAATTTCAAAATTTTAAAGAAGTACTTGAAGAAAGTTAGTATCCAAAATGGAGAATTAGGGAAGCTAATTGGGCAATGTATAAGAAGATAGCAAGTGACAAACTTATGGAGATTATGCCAAATTTAAGCGATGATATTGAAGAAATAAATTCAATGATTACAAATATAATATGTGAATCTGCAGAAAAGGCCATTGGCAAATCTAGTGGATTAAAGGAAAAGAAAAAAAAATCCTTGGTGTAACAATGAATGTAAAAAGGTTATTAAAGTTAGGAATAAAGCATTTAGAAGGTTAAAATTAAATAATTAATTTGAGAATTTAATAACATACAAAAGAGCACAGTCTAAAGTTAAGAGAATAGTTAAATCATCTAAAAAGAATTATTGGAGGGGTTTTTGTTGTACAATTGGAACAAAAGTTAAAGTAAACGAGATCTGGGGAATTAGAAAGGATTTTTCTTTACCTATAATTAAAGATAATCAGCGTAAAGCTATAACAAAACAGGAAAAAGCAGAAATGTATGCTAGGTCCTTTGTGGAAGTGCATAGTTCTCAAATTTTATCCAATGAAGAATTTTCATGGAGATTGAAAATGATTGAAGATGATAGAGAAATTTTAAATAGGAAAGAGAGAGATGGATGTCTTTTAGATGAAGATTTTACACTGTTTGAAATGAATACAGCTTTGATTGGAGTTAGGAATACGTTTCCAGATAAAGATGGGATATGTTATAAGATGATTGAACAGTTATCAGATGCTGCTAAAGGAATATTTTTAAAGTTATACAATGAGATATGGGAACAAGGTTAATAGCCCACTAGTTTGAAACATTCAATTGTAGTACCAATAGTAAAGCCAGGAAATGATAAAAGAGAGGTTAAAAGTTATAGGCCCATAGCTCTGACATTTAATTTATGTAAATTAATGGAGAGAATGATAAGAGATTAATGTATGAAATAGAAAAAAGAGGCCTTTTATCTCCTTATCAGAGTGGTTTTAGGAGTGCACGGACAACAGTAGATCCATTTGTTTGTTTAGAAAATGAAATAAGTAAGTCTCAGGTAAATAAAGAAATTATTTTAGCTATATTTTTTGATATTGAAAAGGTGTATAATATGATTAGGAAGGAGGGTTTATTAATAAGCATGGATAAAATTGGAATGAAAGGTAAAATGATAAATTGGATTAAGGATTTTATAAAGAATAAAGAAATAGAAGTAAGAGTTGGGGTAAATTATTCAAATATTTATGCAATAAAAAATGGAACCCCATAAGGTAGTGTATATAGTCCACTGCTTTTTATATATTGATTAATAATATATTTTGATTATATAGATTTTAGAGTCAGTAAAGCATTATATGCAGATGGTGAAGCATTATGGGTGAGAGGAGGAAATATTAGTAATTTAACAAATAAAATGCAATCAGCAATTAAAACAGTTGAAAGATGGTCACATGACTGGGGGTTTCATTTGTCTGTTGAGAAGACACAAGTAAAATGTTTTTCAAGGAAAAGGGTTAATCCTACAGTAGATCTTAGATTATATGAACATAAATTGAAGCAAGTGCCATGATTTTATTCAAAGATCTGACCCACATATAGAAAACCAAACAGAGAGACCAGTGTAAGGTTTAACAGGTTTATTGGTAGAGATGGGTCCACTGCTGCTCTGAACACTGGCGAACCGGGACTGAAAAGTGAAGGGGAAGTTCCCGTGGTTAGTTCAGGCTCAGTGGGAAATTTGAGCTTCGATTTACAAAAGGTAATAAAGGCAAGAGGACTCACGTTTCCAGAAAAGGTGTCTTTCTCTGAATCCAGTCGGTGTGGGTTGTTCCAGTAATTGACTTGCTCGTTGGAGGGCGGACAGGATTTACCCAGGTTGAGGTGTTTCCCTGAGGAATGGAGGAGCTGATTGCCACTTAGATTTCCTACAGTACTTGAACCGTTTCTTGTGGAGATGAATCCCCTGCTCAGTGTGAACTCAAACAATCCTTTGGGGAAAAGTAGATCCAAACCTCCAGTTTGAATCCCCAGCTCAGTTTGAAGCTCAGACGATCCTTCCAGAGGGAGAAGGTCAAAAAAATCCAGTTTGCAGGATGACTTCCTGCCAAGAGGCAAAGACAAAAAACAACAAGGTTAAGACTCAGGTTGACAAAAACTCAGTTTGACTCAGCAAAACTCAGCTTGGCTAGAGTACAGAAAACTGGTAAACACTTAAGAGCTTAAGAGTCCTCAGGTAATGAGGCAACCATCTGCAGGTGTGTGAAAGGGCCATGGGCGTAGGTTTGCATAGGGACCATAGGGACATGTCCCTACCAAAATTTTGGAAGGACCTATTTGTCCCTACCAATAATTGGATGTAAGCAACATGTTTATAATTTACTATACAGCAGCCGCTTCTTTTCCTCTGCAGCTTCTCTGCCTGGTAGCTGCAGCTGCCTGCTCTTTCCTGTCCCTTTCACATAGCAGCGCATCAACTGTGCTGCGCGGTTTAACTCTCTGATTATTCTGCCTTAAGTTCCGCCTTCTCTCTTTCTGATTGCGTGTTTTCTAGTCTGTATGTGCATGCGCGCGGGTGCTTAGAGCGCGAAAAAAAAAAGACGCTAAAATAAATTATTATTGGGCTACGAAATTAGTCCAAATTAAAAAAAAATATTATCTACGCTAAAACAGGCGAAAGCTTCTGACTGGAGTTCTGTAAAGAAGTAGGAGAGAGTTTTTTGATTTGTGGAACTTGAGAAATGTAAGTAAACAACGTTAGGATTTCTTTTATTTTATCTTTTAATCAGATAGCCAAAGGCTCCTTAAAGAAGATCTTTTATTAAATGAAACCAGGTGAAACAGAAACGTTTAAACGTTTCCTTTGGAGGAGTTCTGGATGGAGAATATTGACAGACAAAAACTTTTTTTTTACTTCTTAAATGCAAAATGTTTACATATTTTTTACAATCTTGGTATAATTCCTGCTCTGAGTGGGTCGCTCTGTCGGCTAAAGGCACATTTTAGTGGCCCTATACTCCAGTTAACGATTAATCAATTACTAAATTAGTTCACAATTTAATAATTTGTTAATATGATTAATTGTTTCAGCCCTAGATAAAATACATGAAATTAGCTCCACAGAGTAACAACAGCCCAGATGTACAACTTCTAATATTAATATTTTAAATGCTCAGTGTCAGTTCCTCTTCTAGTTCCAGTGCACATGTAAATACAATACATTTATTTGCTGTCCCTTGAATGTATTATTTTGCATGATCCAGAGAGAGCATATTAGATAAAAAAAATAAAATAAGAGTGGGGTTTACCTCTGCACAATTCTCTATCTTCAGAAGAAAACACAGGATAAATCCACATATTATAGACTATATTTGGTTAAACAGACACTGTCATAGTAGCAGGTAAATTTAAATGCAATCCTTTTCAAAGTGGAAAAAGTCCTAATTCCACATTGATCAGAGCAAGTTATGCTTTAAATATTGATAAACAGCATCTAGTGCATGTAGTGCTTATAAGATTTGTATTAATGTAGCAAGAAATGCTGCTGTTCTCTTTAAACAAAATGAGCCCTGAAGCTCACATTAAGCATAAAAAAGAGCATGCATATTTTTTGCAAAGGACCAATGAAACTGAAGAATAGTGTCCCTACCAAAGTTGAAATCAAACCTACGCCCTTGGAAAGGGCCA